CAGGAATGCATGTGACTTTCATTTTGTCATATTGAAATACCTCACAGTGTTTGCTGTTCTCTGAATTTTCTTACCAAGAGATAGTTGGAAGCCCTTTTCAGCATCTTTGTTGCCAAAGTGTTTTCTGTGTATAGGTCATCTGAAAGCTGTTCTGTGGCAGTTTTTTCTGTCATTCTCCAAGAGTTGAATGAATGACTCATGGGGATCTGGAACTTTGACGTTTTGCTTTACATGGCTATTTCTGTTTGTGGTAAACAGAGCCAAATGGAGCTCATGGGGCTAAGTCATTTCAGGTTTCTTATGAAACAGCAAGGCAATTATAGAGTGCTGTATGTACTGGATAAAATTGAGTCAGACATGGAGTTGGTTTAGGGTTTTGAGGAAGCAGCACACACTCACAGGAGTGAGCTGTTTGTAAATGGAGAGAGTGTGCCTTCAGTATTATGAAACCTAAAGCTGACTTTTCTTACATGCCTTGCTCCCTTTGTGCCTATCATTTTTCATTTTCTCAACAGTTATTATATTGCTCTTGCAAACAATTGAAATATTAACACTGAGTAGAAGAGGCAAACCCAACAGATGGGGAAACTTGATTTAGCTCCAGATGTAAGCCTTGCCAGACATTTCCAGTAATAGTAATGCACATTTACAACTTGGTATAGATTCTAATTTGTGACAGAGCTGGGATTGTGTTTGTTTCTATATCTTTCTTTTCTTGCCCCCCCCCTTTTTTTTTAAGGTAAAATATCCTGTCCCTGCAGTGATGTACTAGTGTTTGGAAAATCTGGTAACAAAAGAAAAAGTGTGAAATGTGTGTGTTGGGAGGGCTGGGATGAGGGAGCATGGGGGTGAGATGTGCTAACAAGATTGTATTGAAGGTATTGAAGGTTGATCTGCCTTACCTGACCCGAGACATTTTGTAGTAAACACGGTTTTATAAATCTCACAACTAAATACATAACTGCATCGAGCAAATAAGCCAGACTGTAGTAAGGCCTTATGATAAATGTGATTTTCTGTAGGATTCAGGAATTACAAACTGCTTTCTCCCAAATATCCCTTTGTGACCCAAGGGCAGTATGACAAATGTGGGTGTTTGAAAGAAACACCAGATTCTGGGCTACAGTGTGAAGTGCATATGGGTATAATTTATGTTGTGTTTATTTATTCATGTATTTACTTAGGCTTTCCAGGCAGTTCCTTTTCATCTGGGGCCTGTTTCCTTGATCACAATCCTTTATGCTTGCTTTATCTCCTACTTTGTTGCTTTTCCTTTCATTGGCTTCTGGCTTGGCTGCTGTCATTCTTCCCAAGGGCCATCAAACAGCTGATTTAAGCTATTGGCCTGTCCTTTTTCTTTTTCTTTTTTTTTTGTCCCTTTTCTGAATAGCCCAGAAACGACTGGCCTGAGCTTTGAGCAGATAACCATGACCTCTTCCTTCTCTTTGTAGGTCTCTATCAGGTCTACCTATACCTCCATTTTCATTCCTCAAACTTCTTTGATGAACTTGCTGCAGAGAGTAATTATGTCATCCTCACTGTTGCTAATGAATTAGACTTGGAGTATATGTAAAAAGTATCAAAGATCCAGTCAGTTTTTTCAAGAGATTACTGGAAAGATGTGTTAGAATATCACTTATCACCCTAAAGCCAGATCAGGGGGAATACTGTGATGCTGAGCCTGCAAAAGTTTACTTTTTTCCTTTTTAACATTTATTTTCACTTAATAAGTGCTAAACTTGTTGCTGCTCTTTCTTAAACTGCTGTCTTCTTCCGTCGTCAAACTCTATAGCATGCATTATAAACTTTAAAAAAATATACTTTTTACCAATGAGGAAACTGAGTCTTAAGGATATTTGAATTGCACAAATCCCACAATTGTTGTGTGGCAAAGCTGAGAATTAATCATAGTTCTTCTAATTCACAAGTCCAGGGCTCTTTCTTTTATATAGTAACACCTCCTTCTATAGTGTTACATCAAAGGCTACTATGGAGGTAAACAGAAAACTCAGTATGATGTATTGAAAGGGGCATGGGCATGGAAATTTGAGTTAGGGAAACTGGGTTTTTAATTTTTGTCTCTACCACTTAATATGTGATCTCGAGCAAGTTATTTAGCATCTCTGGACCTCTTTCCATGATCTATAAAATGGAGGTCATGATGATATCAATTGTTTTACAGGGAAGTGGTTGTGAGAATTACATATAATGTAACGTATATTAAAGTATTTAGTAAACTATAAAATACTGGTCATTTCATTTAGCGTAATGTCTGTATGGTTCATCCCTGTTGTAGCATGTGTCAGAATTTCCTTCCTTTTTAGGCTGAGTAATATTACTGTTTATTCATTCATTCATTCATTCATTCATTCATTTATGGCTGCATTGGGTCTTTGTTGCTGCACATGGGCTTTCTCTAGTTGCGGCGAGTGGGGGCTACTCTGTTGTGGCACGCGGGCTTCTCATTGTGGTGGCTTCTCTTGTTGCGGAGCACGGGCTCTAGGCACGCTGGCTTCAGTAGTTGTGGCACACGGGCTCAGTAGTTGTGGCTTGTGGGCTGTAGAGCGCAGGCTCAGTAGTTGTGGTGCACGGGCTTAGTTGCTTCACGGCATGTGGGATCTTCCCGGACCAGGGCTCGAACCCGTGTCTCCTGCATTGGCAGGCGGATTCTTAACCACTGCGCCACCAGGGAAGCCCTAATATTCCATTTTATGTATATGCCACATTTTGTTTATCCATTCATCACTGATGAAACCCCAAGTGGATTGCTTCCACCTTTTGGTTGTTGTGGTTTTGGTTATTTGTACATGGGTGTACAAATATCTGTTCAGTTCCTGCTTTCACTTCTTTTGCGAATATACGCAGAAGTGGAATTGATAGATTGTATGGTAATCTTATGTTTAATATTTTGAGGAATTGCCATACCATTTTTCTGGTTTAGCATTCTGAGCCTTCCTTAGAATGTTTCCTAAATATGTCTTCATTTATCCCTTCTGTAAATGTTAAAATGTTACCCGTGAAAGATGTTTTGCTTTTCTTTGTAGGTAGGCTGTGTTGCTTTGAATAAGGGTGTTCCAAGGAGTATTCTTTTCTCCGAGTTAGTATTCTCTTAGCTGAGGGCAAATAAGTGGTATGACTAAGAAGTCAGCATTCCACTGAGCCAATGGTAATGAATGCTGCCTTATGCTCCTTAGCTTTGCTTCTTAAGAGCCTTGTGTTGTACATCCATGACACTGTTAACTTTGGGTGGTTTAGAAAACAAGAGACTGTCAGAAAATTGGACCTTTGGGTCTCCCAGGGATACTATGGGATATTTAACTTCTGGCCACCAAATTGATTATCAACGACAGAGTATATAAAGGCTTAGTAGTAAAGTTGTGATGGTATGCAACATTTACTTATGTTGTTTGTAAAGGTTGTATTGATCCCACACCTGGAAAGGATTTCTTTCTTTCTTTTGTTGATCCTACACCTGGAAAGGATTTTCTTTTTTCTTTTCGTTCCTTCCTTCCTTCCTTCCTTCCTTCCTTCCTTCCTTTCTTCCTTCCTTCCTTCCTTCCTTCCTTTCCTCCCTCCCTCCCTCCCTCCCTTCCTTCCTTCCTTCCTTCCTTCTTTCTTTCTCTCTCTCTCTTTCTCCCTTCCTCCCTAACTCCCTCCCTCCCTCCCGTCCTTCCTTCCTTCCTTTTAAATTTGGCTGCACTTCACAGCATGCGGAACTTCCCCAACCAGGGATCAAACCCCTTCAGTGGAATTGCAGAATCTTAACCACTGGACCACCAGGGAAACCCCCTGGAAAGGATTTCTAAGGCAGAGTGAACACACTCTTAGCCACCTCTCCTGTAGTATGTATGTTCTTTGATAATCACGGCAAGGGATTGGGTTGCGTGTGAAATTTTCAGATACCTGACAGCTGCGAGGGCCTCCGAGACTGGTTTGCCAGTTGATGACAGCTACGAGTTATGTCTTTGGGATCTTCTGGAATGCAGTGCATGCAATGGCAACCCTAACAGTATCTCACCAACAGTGAAAAGCAGCAGAAAGCCTGCAGACCTTTCTTTTTTTTGGAGTTTAGATTGAGACAGTGAAAATTAAAAGTACTTCTACTTGCTTGGAGGCCTAAATTTGCTCAAGTGTCAGTCTGTTTGCTTTTTACGTCTTTAGTGGCTTAGTCATGCTAGTTCTTTAACTGTCAAAGTTATTTGTGTTTAAACAATTTGTCTCTCTCTTCCTGCTTGATCCTTCAGAGAGATTCTTAAAATGCAGCTGCTTAGAAACTGCTATTTTTACTGAAACACCTGATGTCATTAACATACAGGGCCCTATGTTTGTTCCTCCCCATCAGAGCATTGTTCCATTGCTTTGCCACAAGAAAAATAAAACAGTATTTATTGCTCCACCTTTAAAATTCCACTTGGTATAATTGTTACTTCAGCTGCCTTCACATATCTACTGATCCCCAAAGGAAAAATACCCTGAGGGGCTATGCACAGGGCTGGAAGGAAAACATTTAGAAGTTTTGCTTGGAGACTTCTATGCTAAATATTTCCTGTCACCACTTAGCAGGCTACCCCAGTGAGGTCCTGTACTTTAGGGAAGATGTCTGCTGACTATTAACCTAATTAGTCAAAAGAGAAAAAGAAAAATGTTAGACTAAAATCTGACCTTCATCTAACCAAAGAACTTTCAAGGTAAGTAATTTGAAGCCCTTAATGAATCTCTTCACATTAACATCTTATTGCTTTTCACTTAATGAGCATTTTATTAGCACCAAGTTCACAATCCTGTTCTCTTTTTGCTCACGGAAATAGTGGCTGAATGACTGCAAATAGGTTTTTCTCCTGATC